CTGACACGTGGTGTCATCACGGGTGTTGTTGAATTGAGCGAAGCTATTGTTGCCAGGGCTTGGGAGGGGACAAGACGACCATGATGATGATGGCGATGATGATAATGATGATGGCGATGATGATGATAATGATGATGGCGATGATGATGACAATGATGATGATGGCGATGATGATGATAATGGTGATAATGATGATGGCGATAATGATTATGGCGATAATGATGATGGCGATGATAATGATGATGGTGGTGATGATGAGGGTGGTGATGATGGTGTTGTGGGCTGTATGGGGAGCGGTAATGTAGTGGTTAGCGCTACGATGCGCTACGAACCAGGCGACCCGGGTTCAATTCCCGCTCACGGCCAACACAAGTGATGATTATCTGAACCGATCCTGGGCCTCCCCTAGGTCGACTCAGCCTCAAATGAGTACCTGGTGTGGTGTGTAGTAAACATCGTCACTGGAGAGACAAAGGCGGTCGGGCGTGGTGCTGGCCACCCACCCCCTCGTGTACCGTTCCGGCCTTCATAGGTGCTCGCTAACAGCACTTGCCCCTACAGTCTGTTAAGGCTATACGGGGATCTTTGTCTTTGATGTCGGTTGTGATGATGTGGTTTGTGATGATGATGTGGGTGGTGATGGTGATGTGGGTGGTGATGGTGATGTGGGCGATGGTGGTGATGTGGGTGATGATGGTTGTGGGTGACGATGGTGATGATGTGGGTGATGATGTAGGTGATGATGGTGTGGGTGATAGTAGTGATGGTGATGATGGTGATGAGGGTGGTGATGATAGCGATGTGGCTTGTGACGATGGTGCTGATGGCGATGTTGCTTGTGGTGATGATGGTGGTGCTGATGATGATGAGAGGGAAGCGCCACGCCCTACCGTGGCCCCATCTTCTCACGCGTTTCCTCCATCTCACATCCGCATCCCCCCCCCACAGGGCGACCCCCACCCCCCCCCCCATCTGCCTCTCAACCCCAGTAGCACTCACTCAGCTGACCGACGATGCACGCGGTGGCGTGGCAAGGCAATCACCATCATCACCATCACCTCCTCCATGATCCTCGTCGTCATCACCTCCTTCATCATTATCATCGTCGTCATCGTCATCACCTCCATAATCATCATCATCGTTATCATCATCATCGTTGTCATCATCATCATCGTTGTCATCATCATCATCGTTGTCATCATCAGCCTCCTCCATCGTCGTTGTCATCATCAGCCTCCTCCATCGTCGTTGTCATCATCACCTCCTCCATCATCATCATCGTCATCTTCACCACCATCACCTCCTCCATCATAACCATCACAAGCATGATTCATCAGTATCACGACCACCATCACCACCTCCATCATCAGCTTCACTACCAAAATCATCACCATCATTATCAACACCATCATTATCAACACCATCATCAACACCATCACCCCCTCCGCGATCATTATCCTCCTCATAACCATCACAAGCATCATTCATCAGTATCACGACCACCATCACCACATTCTCCACCATCGTCATCACGAACCGAGACGTCTCTCGGTGAACATCACCACAGGAGGTGCAGGCACCAGCACCACCATCGTCATCACGAACCGAGACGTCTCTCGGTGAACATCACAACAGGAGATGCAGGCACCATCGCGTCGAACTTTCCCAGCCGCAAGCAACCGGGCAGACCGTGGGCATTTGTGAAAAAATAAGAAAAAAGATCTTCGTAGGTCATGGGATTTCTGAATAAAAATTAATAAAAAAATTTTGGTCGTGGTTTGGGGGGGGGGAGGGAGGTCAGGGTTTTGGGTCAGGGTTTTGGGTCAGGGTTTGGGGTCAGGGTTTGGGGTCAGGGTTTGGGGTCAGGGTTTGGGGTCAGGGTTTGGGGTCAGGTTTGTAGAGGCGACCACTGCCCCCTGAGACCGAGTTATGGCCCGAAGTGAGGCGAGGCCTGAAGGTTCCGGGGTGGAAGTTGGACCCCACACGGGTTCAAACTCCAGAGGTTTATAGCCTGGGCTGTGACTCTCTCCTCCTCTCTCCTCCTCACTCTCACCTCATCTCTCTCCCTTACAACCCCCCTCCTCGTCTCTCTCTCCCTTCCACCCTCACTGTCACCCACTCTCCCGTATCCCTCTCCCGCCACTCTCCTATCTCTCACCCCTGTCTCTCTCGCATCAATCTCCTAAATCTTCCCCTGTATCTCTCTCCCGTCATTCTCCTCTCTCCCCTGCCCCTCTCCCCTCTCACCCCCTGCCCCTCTCCCATCTCTCCCCTGCCCCTCTCCTATCTCTCCCCTGCCCCTCTCCCCTCTCCCCCCCTGCCCCTCTCCTATCTCTCCCCTGCCCCTCTCCCATATCTCCCCTGCCCCTCTCCCCCCCGCCCCTCTCTTCTCTCCCCCCCTGCCCCTCTCCTATCTCTCCCCCTGCCCCTCTCCCCCCCCTGCCCCTCTCCTATCTCTCCCCTGCCCCTCTCCCTCCCTGCCCCTCTCCCATCTCCCCCCTGTCCCTCTCCCCCCCTGCCCCTCTCCCATCTCTCCCCTGCCCCTCTCCCCTCTCCCCCCCTGCCCCTCTCCTATCTCTCCCCTGCCCCTCTCCCCCCCTGCCCCTCTCCGTCATTTTCCTCTCACTCTCCCCGTCCCTCCGCTCTCCCCTCGTTGCTCAATCCCCGCGGCCTCGCCCCCCACCACCACCACCACACCACCACTACCACACCACTACCACCACCATCTCTCCCCCTCCAGCTCCCCCACAATCCGACACACAAACGTCGCTTAACGCAAAATAAAAAAAGTTACACGAGACCCTTTTTGCTATCCCACCCTCTGACAACACTTGAAATTGGTGCCGATTGTTGCTGGCCGCTTGACGTTTGTTGTAAACCACAACGCAAAACACCGCGACACAACTACCACCACTTACAAAACAGACAAAGATCCCCCGTGTAGGCTGTAACAGGCTGTAGGGGCAAGTGCTGTTGGCAGCGAGTAGCAGCAGCAGCAGTGCCTATGAAGGCTTCCCGTACTGGGGGGGGGGGTGTGGGGTGGTGGGTGGAGAGCAACCACGCCCGACCGCCTTTGTCTCCCCGTGGCGATGTTTACTACTACAACCCCACGGTTACTCATTCGAGGCCGAGTCGACCTAGCGGGGAGAATGAGGCCCCAGGACCGGCTCAGCTTCATCGTCACGAGCGGGTGCTGTTGGTGATGGCGGCGGCGCGGCGCTAACCATTGCGCCACCGCTCCCCAACAACCACCGACCAACAACAACCGCCATTCGCCACTAAGTGGTGGCGTAACCACGTAGTAGCTGGTGCCAGGCTACGTGCACGTTAAGACCAAACACCACCCACCCACCAAACACCAACAACTGCCACCGCCACTACCACGGCGCTCGTGCCAGGCTACGTGCACGTTAAGGCCAACCACCACCCACCCACCAACCACCACCACCCACCACCACCCACCAATCACCAACAACTGCCACCGCCACTACCACGGCGCTCGTGCCAGGCTACGTGCACGTTAAGGCCAACCACCACCCACCCAACCACCACCAACAAGAACCACCACCCACCAACCAACCACCACCCACCAATCACCAACAACTGCCACCGCCACTACCACGGCGCTCGTGCCAGGCTACGTGCACGTTAAGGCCAACCACCACCCACCCACCACCCACCAACAACCACCACCCACCCACCACCACCCACCAACACTGCCACCGTCGACAAGACAAAAATGGGTTCCCCAGCCCCTTACCGGCTCCACGGCGTCGCCCTGAAGCTTCCTGCCGGGGGTGGCAAGTGTCGCTGGGGACTACGAACTTGCGGGTGGGTGGGCGGATGGGTCGGTGGGTGGATGGGTAGGTGGGTGGATAGGTAGGTGGGTGGGTGGATGGGTGAATGGGTAGGTGGGTGGATGAGTGGATGGATGGGTCGGTGGGTGGATGGGTAGGTGGGTGGGTAAATGGGTAGGTGGGTGGATGGGTGGATGGGTCGGTGGATGGATGAGTAGGTGGGTGGATGCGTAGGTGGGTGGGTGGATGGTAGGTGGGTGGATGGGTAGGTGGGTGGGTGGATGGGTAGGTGGGTGGGTGGATGGGTAGGTGGGTGGGTGGATGGGTAGGTGGGTGGGTAGGTGGGTGGGTGCATGGGTAGGTGGGTGGGTGCATGGGTAGGTGGGTGGGTAGGTGGGTGGATGGGTAGGTGGGTGGATGGGTAGGTGGGTGGATGGGTGGGTAGGTGGGTGGGTGGGTAGGTGGGTGGGTAAGTGGGTGGATGGGTAAGTGGGTGGATGGGTGGGTGGATGGGTGGGTGGATGGGTAGGTGGGTGGGTAGGTGGGTGGGTGGGTAGGTGGGTGGGTGGGTAGGTGGGTGGGTGGGTGGGTAGGTGGGTGGATGGGTAGGTGGGTGGGTGGATGGGTAGGTGGGTGGGTGGATTGGTAGGTGGGTGGGTAGGTGGGTTGGTAGGTGGGTGGGTGGGTAGGTGGGTGGGTGGGTAGGTGGGTGGGTAGGTGGGTGGGTGGGTAGGTGGGTGGGTGGGTGGGCGGGTGGGTGGGTAGGTGGGTGGGTAGGTGGGCGGGTAGGTGGGTGGGTAGGTGGGTGGGTGGGCGGGTAGGTGGGTGGGTAGGTGGGTGGGTGGGTGGGTAGGTGGGTGGGTGGGTAGGTGGGTAGGTGGGTGGGTAGGTGGGTAGGTGGGTGGTTGGGTGGGTAGGTGGGTGGTTGGGTGGGTAGGTGGGTGGTTGGGTGGGTAGGTGGGTGGTTGGGTGGGTAGGTGGGTGGTTGGGTGGGTAGGTAGGTAGGTGGGTAGGTGGGTGGTTGGGTGGGTAGGTGGGTGGGTGGATGGGCAAGCACAAACCAACACACGCGCGGCCGCCTGTGTCTCCCTTAGTGGCGATACGGAAACACGCGGCACCCCAAAGGGGGGGGGGTCTTGAATCCCGCCGGAACCACCACCACCACGACCCCCGCTTAGCGAAGAAGCCGCGCACCCCGCTCACCTCTTCACTGGGGTCTCTTCGCTGGGGTCTCTCCGCTGGGGTTTCTCCGCTGGGGTCTCTCCGCTGGGGTTTCTCCGCTGGGATCTCTCCGCTGGGGTCTCTCCGCTGGGGTCTTGCCGAGGGGATCTCTGACGTCTCCACTGGAGTCTCTGGCGTCTCCACTGGGGTCTCTGCCGAGGGGATCTCTGGGGCTGTGGGGGTCTCTCTGCCGCTCTCTGGGTCGCGCTCTCCGCACGGGGCGTCTCCCTCAAGGTCGGGTCTCGTGATGACGTCACCTTACGGCGGTGAAGAGACGGAGCGTTGACGTTATCTCCGCGGAAAAGGCGGGACGGGAGCGCGGAAACGTCACCCGCTCGAATTCACTGCGCGAATGGGGAGGGAGAACGGCGCGATGACGTCACCTCCACAGTGTAAGAAGGCGAGACGGGCGCGGTGACGTCACGTCCACCGCGCGAACCCAGGCGGTGTGGCAGCGTGATGACGTCTATAGCGTTGAATTCGTCAGGCGGCGGGTAGCGTGATGACGTCTCTACCGTTGAATACGTCAGGCGGCGGGTAGCGTGATGACGTCCCTGACGTTGAATTCGTCAGGCGGCGTGTAGCGTGATGACGTCGATACTGTTGAATTCGTCGGGTGGCGGGTAGTGTGATGACGTCTTCGCCGTTGAATTCGTCGGGTAGCGTGGTGACGTCACTGCCGTTGAATTAGTCGGACGGCGGGTAGCGTCATGACGTCACCGCCGTTGAATTGGTCGGGCGGTGGGTAGCGTGATGACGTTGCCGCCACCGTGACGGCATGAGAGGGGGGCAGCCTTAAATGTCCACTTGATGATGACGATAAACCAAATTTTGATTTAAAGCTTTCGTGACTGAAGGGAAACAATAAAATAATAAATATGTATATAAAACTATAAAAAATTCTCACGACGTTTCGACCATTACACAAACGGTCATCATCAGGTGTGAAAACCAACGGCAAGAAACATTTGAAATGTGAGAATTTTTTTATTGTTTGATATATTTTATTATTTTATTGTTTCCCTTCAACGTGACTTTGACGATAAACCACTTCGTTTGTGATAGCCAAGGGTCGCTTCTGAAAGAGAAGCTAATTAGCTCAGTGGATTTTACCTTATTCTTGGTTCTTTCGGTAAAGTCACGTAGAAGGGAAACAATAAAATAATAAAACAATACAATTTGTGAGAATTTTATTGCGAAAATTTTATTTTTTATTTTATTGTTTCCCTTCCACGTGACTTTACCGAAAGAACTAAGAATAATAAAAATATTATTTTATTGTGAGATAAAAACACAGCGTTGTTTTCGTCTCATTTGTATATTTTATCAAGTGACTTGTGTTTTTGTTGTTGTGACGTTCTCACCGCGTGCCCCCTACTGGACGTCTGTGAAAAAGAGCTTCATAGCTTATCGGATTCCTCCCACGATAAATAAACGTTCCGATTCTCGGTGTACTGACGTCATCCCTTACTGAATGCACGGGGCGAGGAGGGGGTGGGGGGCAGCGCGGTGACGTCACGTCAACAGTGAACGGGGTGGGGCGAGGCGATGTGACGTCCCACCGCTACGGTTTTCGTTGAGCCTAAGAGGAGGATGACGTCATCTTCCCCATCCCTCGAACTTCGAAATTAAAAAAATTCAGTGACGTTTATTTGTTTGTCTCTTTCGATCGCTCGGATGGGGAGAGGGGCGGGTTTCGGCGAGCTAAAAAGCCGATAATAATTATATTACAATTATTTTTGTTTTAAAATAAAAAAAAATCCGCCTCGCGACCGAGGCCGCGCGACGCCCCGAGTGCTCACGGAAATTACCGAAGCTCTTTCGGGGGGGGGGGGGAGAATGACGTCATCGCGCGAGCCGGAAATTTTTTTCCAGAACAAAAAATATTGTGACGTCACCGGCGGCGCCAACCGCCGTTGCCGCGAAATGGCCGTCGGTTGATTTCTTAAGTTGGGGGTGGGGTGGGTGAGGAAGGGGTACCCCCCCTCCCTCTCCTTTGCTCAGGGCTCGGGGGTCCTCTGGCTCGGGGCTCCTCTGGCTCGGGGTCCCCTGGCTCCGGGGGGTCCTCTGGCTCGGGGGTCCTCTGGCTCGGGGGGGTCCTCTGGCTCGGGGGTCCTCTGGGCTCGGGGGTCCTCTGGCTCGGGTGGGTCCCCTGGGCTCGGGGGTCCCCTGGCTCGGGGAGTCCCCTGGGCTCGGGGGGCTCGGGGGGGTCCTCTGGCTCGGGGGGGTCCTCTGGGCTCGGGGGGGTCCTCTGGCTCGGGGGGGTCCTCTGGGCTCGGGGGGGTTCCTCTGGGCTCGGGGGTCCTCTGGCTCGGGGGGGTCCCCTGGGCTCGGGGGGGTCCTCTGGGCTCGGGGGGGTCCTCTGGCTCGGGGGGGTCCCCTGGGCTCGGGGGTCCCCTGGCTCGGGTAGTCCCCTGGGCTCGGGGGGATCCTCTGGGCTCGGGGGTCCTCTGGCTCGCAGGGGGTCCTCTGGGTCCGGGGGGGTCCCCTGGCTCGGGGGTCCTCAGAATCGAGGGGGGTCCTCTGGCTCGGGGTCCCCTGGCTCGGGGGTCCTCTGACTCGGGGGGGGTTCTCTGGGCTCGGGGGGATCCTCTGGCTCGTGGGGGTCCTCTGGCTCGGGGGTCCTCTGGCTCGGGGGGGGGGGGGGGGGTTCCCTGGGCTCGGGGGTCTACTTGGTCAGGATTAGGGGTCCCTTCCTTAAGGGGGTCCTCTTTGGCTAGGGGTCCCTTTGGTCGGGGTTAGGGAGCTTCCCCCTATGGTCATGAACAGGGGGTCTCTTACTGGTGAGGAGGGGTCCCCCTCTTGTCCCCCCACCCCCCGGCTGTCGCAAGGCGCCACGTGTGAAATAACGCGGGCGGCGGTGGTGGTGGAGGAGGGGAGCGGTGGGACAGCGATCAGCGCACTGCAGCTAGGAACCCGGCGACCCGAGTTCGATTCCCGCTCACGACCAACACCGGTGACGATTATCTGAACAGGTCCTGGGCCTCCCCTAGGTCGACTCAGCCTCAAACGAGTAACGCGGTGTAGCGTAGTTAAACATCGCCACTTGGGGGAGACAAAGGCGGCCGGGCGTGGTTGCTGGCCACCCACCCCCCTCCGTGTGCCTCCACAGTGCCGGTAGCCTTCACAGGTGCTGCTCGCTAACAGCACTTGCCCCCACAGTCTGTCACAGGCTACACGGGGGATCTTTGTCTTTTCGGTGGTGGTGGATGTTGTGGTTGTGGTGGTGGTGGTTGTTGTGGTGGTGGCTCTGGACGGTTTGTAGATGGCGGCAGATAGCGGGCGGCAGCGCTCAGCGGCTCGGTCCGTCGAGACCTCGTGGTGGGGGAGGAACCCCGACACACAGAGCCCCCACCCCCGCACCACGAGGGGGGACCCCCCCCCTTTACGGACCCCCCCCCCCTTTACGGACCCCCCCCTTTACGGACCCCCACATGAGCTGATGAACCGGGTTGCTGGGGGAGGGCAGTTACCTCCCTGCTGCGGGTGGTGGTGGTCACGGTGGCTATGAGATGTTAACTACCTCGCCTGGTATACAGGAGGTCGTGGGTTCCATCCCCACCCTGACGACGCCTGCTGTTGCTGCTGTATATTTGGAGTCTGCGTCTCTCTCTCACATCATCACGGTGGCTAGGAGATGTTAACTACCTCGCCTGGTGTACAGGAGGTCGTGGGTTCGATCCCGACCCTGACGATGCCTGCTGCTGCTGCTGTATATTTGGAGTCTGCGTCTCTCTCTCACATCATCATCACGGTGGCTAGGAGATGTTAACTACCTCGCCTGGTATACAGGAGGTCGTGGGTTCCATCCCGACCCTGACTATGCCTGCTGCTGCTGTATATTTGGAGTCTACGTGTCTCTCTCATCATCATCACGGTGGCTAGGAGATGTTAACTACCTCGCCTGGTATACAGGAGGTCGTGGGTGGGTTTGATCCCGACCATGACGATGCCTGCTGCTGCTGCTGTATATTTGGAGTCTGCGTGTCTCTCTCATCATCATCATCACGGTGGCTAGGAGATGTTAACTACCTCGCCTGGTCTACAAGAGGTCGTGGGTTCCATCCCGACTCTGACGACGCCTGCTGCTGTAGATTTGGAGTCTGCGTCTCTCATCATCATCATGGTGGCTAGGAGATGTTAACTACCTCGCGTGGTCTACAGGAGGTCGTGGCTTCGATCCCGACCCTGACGCCTGCTGCTGCTGCTGTAAATTTGGAGTCTGCGTCTCTCTCTCATCATCACGGTGGCTAGGAGATGTTAACTACCTCGCCTGGTGTACAGGAGGTCGTGGGTTCGATCCCGACCCTGACGATGCCTGCTGCTGCTGCTGTATATTTGGAGTCTGCGTCTCTCTCTCACATCATCATCACGGTGGCTAGGAGATGTTAACTACCTCGCCTGGTATACAGGAGGTCGTGGGTTCCATCCCGACCCTGACTATGCCTGCTGCTGCTGTATATTTGGAGTCTACGTGTCTCTCTCATCATCATCACGGTGGCTAGGAGATGTTAACTACCTCGCCTGGTATACAGGAGGTCGTGGGTGGGTTTGATCCCGACCATGACGATGCCTGCTGCTGCTGTATATTTGGAGTCTGCGTGTCTCTCTCTCTCATCATCATCATCACGGTGGCTAGGAGATGTTAACTACCTCGCCTGGTCTACAAGAGGTCGTGGGTTCCATCCCGACTCTGACGACGCCTGCTGCTGCTGTAGATTTGGAGTCTGCGTCTCTCATCATCATCATGGTGGCTAGGAGATGTTAACTACCTCGCGTGGTCTACAGGAGGTCGTGGCTTCGATCCCGACCCTGACGCCTGCTGCTGCTGCTGTAAATTTGGAGTCTGCGTCTCTCTCTCATCATCACGGTGGCTAGGAGATGTTAACTACCTCGCCTGATGTACAGGAGGTCGTAGGTTCCATCCCGACCCTGACGATGCCTGCTGCTGCTGTAGATTTGGAGTCTACGTGTCTCTCTCTCATCATCATCACCACGGTGGATAGGAGATGTTAACTATTTCGCCTGGTATACAGGAGGTCGTGGGTTCGATCCCGACCCTGACGACGCCTGCTGCTGCTGCTGTAGATTTGGAGTCTGCGTCGCTCTCTCATCATCACGGTGGCTAGGAGATGTTAACTACCTCGCCTGGTGTGCAGGAGGTCGTGGGTTCGATCCCGACCCTGACGATGCCTGCTGCTGCTATAGATTTGGAGTCTGCGTCTCTCTCTCATCATCATCACGGTGGTTATGAGATCTTAACCACCTCG